AAATATAAAACGTCATTTTTAATTATTTATTATAATTAAAAAAAAAAAAAAAAACTGTCAGGGTTAACCCAAATAAATCCCTAATTTCATGAGTGAATACTTTTCATTATCCTGAGCTTTCTTTTGGTTTTTATAGTTACCTGTACCTTTCTTCATCATACTGTTAGGAGAAATTTAGAAATCTAATCTTACATTTTCTCTGGTGCTTTTAAAACCTTCATGTCCATTATGGCTACCCTAATAACACTGATAAAGCTCATTTGTTGAATGAAAACTAGGGTTTCTTTTAAGAAGCAGAAGAAAAATAAAAGAACAATAACTAAGTAGAGAAGCTATAACAAGTTTGTGGATAACACAACCGAAAACCTTGCAATAATGGAATCTTTATCTACACTGTAGTGCGAGGATCTTCCAAAAACACAAACCAGTATTAAGTCTGTATCTTATGGTCACAGTAAAGGTTATTGGAATGGGTCATTAGTAGTTTTCTTGTGAGATCCCAATTTCCATAAAAAAAAACAATCTTGACATCATGCATTGAGTACCTATTGAAGACAACACGATGAAGCACACGCACACACAGAAGTTTGTATGATGATTAACCAGCATGGAGAAAGGTTACATTAACACTAAAGGTGTGTCACACAATGTATAATGTATACCAGGGGTCTCCAAACTACGGCCTGCGGGCCGGACTTCGGTTTACCCAAAATTAAGTAGGGATGCATACATGATCAGATTGGCTTTTGCTCAATTACGTTTTATTTTTTGTTTTTATAATATTAAAAAATTATATTATTACTTTAATAAACTGTTGGCGGGCCACCACGATCCCTTTGGCCCGCAAAGCCTAAAAAGATCTGCCTTCCGGCCCTTGTCCGAAAATGTTTGGAGACCCCTGATGTAGACAACATGGAAAAAGGTAACATTAACACTAAGGACGTGTCACAATATATGATGTAGCCAGCATGGAGAAAGGTTACATTAATATTAATGATGTGTTACAACATATGATGTAGCCAGAGTGGAGAAAGGTTACATAACACTAAGAATGTGTCACAACATATGATGTAACCAGTGTGGAAAAAGGCTACATTAACATTAATGATGCATTACAACATATGATGTAAACAACATGGAGCAAGGTTACATTAACACTAAGGATGTGTCACAATATATGATGTAGACAACATGGAGAAAGTTTAGATTAACACTAAAGATGTGTCATAATACATGATGTAGGCAGCATGGAGAAAGGTTACATAAACACTAAGCATGTGTTGCAACATATGACGTAGCCAGTATGGAGAAAGGTTACATTAACACTAAGAATGTGTCAGTTACAACATATGATGTAGACAACGTGGAGAAAGTTTAGATAAACACTAAAGATGTGTCATAATACATGATGTAGCCAGCATGGAGAAAGGTTACATAAACACTAAGAATGTGTTACAACATATGATGTAGCCAGTATGGAGAAAGGTTACATTAACACTAAGAATGTGTCAGTTACAACATATGATGTAGACAAGGTGGAGAAAGTTTAGATTAACACTAAAGATGTGTCAGTTACAACATATGATGTAGACAAGGTGGAGAAAGTTTAGACTGACACTAAAGATGTGTCATAATACATGATGTAGCCAGCATGGAGAAAGGTTACATAAACACTAAGAATGTGTCAGTTACAACATATGATGTAGCCATCATGATGAAGTGCTGGCTAAAACACTGTAGATATTTCATAAGATGGAACTAATATGGACACATTTACTAAATCTGAAGAAATTTTGTAACATATGATCTAGCCAACATGGAGATATGTTAAATACACAGTGATGATGTTTCACAACACAAGATGGAGCCAGCTTGGAGATATATTTACTAAATACTGATGATGTTTCACAGTACAAGATGGAGCCAGCTTGGAGATATATTGACTAAATACTG